TAGTGGTGAAAGTGGGCATCCTTGTTATGTTCCTGATCTTAGAGGACAGGCTTTCAGTTTTTCTCCGTTCAGTATAATACTAGCTATGGGTTTGTCATATATGGCTTTTATTCTGTTGAGGTATGTTCCTTCTATACCCATGTTTTTGAGGGTTTTTTGTCATAAAGGGATGTTTAATATTATCAAATGCTTTTTCAGCACAATTAAAATGATCATAAGGTTTTTGTTCTTCATTCTGTTGATATGATGTGTCTCATTAATTGATGTGTCTATGTTGAACCATTCTTGCATCACTGGAATAAATTGCACTTGGTCATGATAAATGGTCTTTCATTTTGGTTTTGTTTTCACTTTTAAGTACAGGGGTACATGTGCAGATTTGATATATAGGTTAACTTGTGTCATGGGGGTTTGTTGTACAAATTATTTCATCACCCAGGTATTAAGCCTAGTACCCATTAGGTTTTATTTTTTTTCTGATCTGTTCCTTCCTCCCACCCTCCACCTTCCAATAGGCCCTAGTGTCTGCTGTTTCCTTTTATGAGTCCATGTATTCTCTTCTTTTAGCTGCCACTTAAGTGAGAATGTGTGGTATTTGGTTTTCTGTTGCTGCATTAATTTGCTAGGGATAATGGCTTCTAGCTCCATTCATGTTCCTATAAAGGACATGATCTCATTCTTTTTTTTTTAAGTGACTTTATTTTATTTTAGTTACATAAATTACAAAATATCGCTAAGTGAAAATAAAATCAATAAAAATCATCCATGATACCACCCACTTTAACATTTATGTGTATAGCTTTTTATGCTCTATTTCTTCACATATATAGATAAATATATTCATCAAAAAGAGGTTATTTCATATATTAGGTTGGTACAAAATTGGTTGCGCTTTTTGCCATTGCTTTTAATATATTGTTTTGTAAGCTATTTTTATTTAACAATGTATTATGAATTTATTTCTATAACATTAAATATATTCTCTGTGTGTATGTGTGTCTTGTTTCTTATGACTAAAATTTTTTAAAATTAAGGTGTTATGTTGAGATGGTTGAAGATTCACCTGCCATTTTAATAAATAATACAGAGAGATTCTGTGTGCCCCTTACCAAGTTTCCCTTAATGATAACATCTTGTAAAACTATAGTACGATAAGAAAACCAGGACATTATTGACATTGATGCAATCAGATACAGAAGATTTTCATCACTACACAGATCCGTGTTGCCCTTTTAAAGCCACATCCACTTGTGTCTCACCCAATCCCTCAACCATTAATCTCTTCTGCTTTGATAATTTTATCATGTCAAGAATGCTATGTGGATGGAATAATACAGTATATCACCTTTTGGGGTTGTCTTTTTTTCCCCACTCAGCATAATTCCCTGGAACTTCATCCAAGTTGTTGTGTGTATCAACAGTTCGATCCTTTTAATTGCTGAGTACTGCTCCATGATACTGATAGGCCACAATTGGCTTAATTATTCAGCTGTTGAAGGACATTTTGGTTGTCACCAGTTTGGGGTTATTACAAACAAGGCTGTATAAATCCTCTTTTACAGGTTTCTTTATGGACATAAGTTTTCATTTCTCTGAGATAAATGCCAAAGGGTCTAGTTGTTTGGTTGCGTAGCAGCTGCATGTTTAGATTTGTAAGAAATTGCCAAAGTGCTTTCCAGTGTGGTCATACTATTTTACATTAAACCCAGCAATATTTCTGTGCATTCTCACCAGCGTTTTGTGTTGTCACTATTTTTATCTTAACTATTTTGAAAGGTGTGTAGTGACATTTTATTGTTTAAATTTGCATTTCCCTAAAGGCTAATAAAATTGAACATTTTATGTGCTTATTTGTCATCTGTATGTGCAATGTCTGTTCATGTCATTTGCTCATTTTCTTTTTTCCTTTTTTATTTTAGAGTATTTAATTGGCAAATAAAAATTGTATATATTCAATGTATACAACACAATGATTTTGTTTCTTTTTTTAAAAAAAATTATTTTTCAATGGGTTTTTGGGGAATAGGTGATGTTTGGTTACGTGAATAAGATATATAGTAGTGACTTAAGAGATATTGGTACACCCATCACCCAAGCAGTGTACACTGTACCCAATGTGTAGTCTTTTATCCCTCACTCCCCCACCCCTTTCTCTGAGTCTTCAAAGTCCATCGTATCATTCTTATGCCTTTGCGTCCTCATAGCTTAGCTCCCAATTATGAGTGAGAACATACCATGTTTCATTTTCCATTCCTGAGTTACTTCACTTAGAATAATAGTCTCTAATTCCTTCCAGATTGCTGCAAATGCCGTTATTTAGTTCCTTTTTATGGCTGAGTAGTATTCCATGGTGTGTGTGTGTGTGCATGTGTGTGTACACACATATGTATGTGTGTATATATATACACATATATGTGTGTGTATATATATACATATATGTGTGTATATATATATCACATTTTCTTTTTTTATTATGCTTTCAGTTCTTGGATGCATGTGCAGAACATGCAGGTTTGTTACATAGGTATACATGTGCCATGGTGGTTTGCTGCACCCATCAACCCATCATCTAGGTTTTGGGCTCCACATGCGTTAGGTAATGCTCTCTCTCTCATTTCCCCCGACTCCACAAAAGGCTCCATTGTGTGATGTTCCCCTCCCTGTGTCCATGTGTTCTCATTGTTCAACTCCCACTTATGAGTGAGAACTTGTGGTGTTTGGTTTTCTGTTAGTTTGCTGAGAATGATGGTTTCCATCTTCATCCATGTCTCTGCAAAGGACATGAGCTCATTCTCTTTAATGGCTACATAGTATTCCATAGTGTATATGTGCCACATTTTCTTTGTCCACTCTATCACTGATGCCATTTGGGTTGGTTCCAACTCTTTGCTATTGTAAATAGTGCTGCAGTAAACATATGTGTGCATGTGCCTTTATAGTAGAATGATTTATAATCCCTTGGGTATATACCCAGTAATGGGATTGCTGGGTCAAATGGTATTTCTGATTCTAGATCCTTGAGGAATTGTCACACTGTCTTCCACAATGATTGAACTAATTTACCTTCCCACCAATAGTGTAAAAGTGTTCCTATTTCTCCACATTCTCTACAGCATCTGTTGTTTCCTGAATTTTTAATGATTGCCATTTTAACTGGTGTGAGATGTTGTCTCACTGTGGTTTTGATTTGCATTTCTCTAATGACCAGTGATGATGAGCTTTTATTCATATGATTGTTGGCTGCATAAATGTCTTCTTTTGAGAAGTTCATATCCTTTGCCCACTTTTTGATGGGGTTGTGTTTTTCTTGTAAATTTGTTTAAGTTCCTTGTAGATTCTGGATATTAGCACTTTGTCAGATGGATAGACTGCAAAAATTTTCTCCCATTCTGTAGGTTGCCTGCTCACTCTGATGACAGTTTCTTTTGCTGTGCAGAAGCTCTTTAGTTTAATTAGATCCCATTTGTCTGTTTTGGCTTTTGTTGCCATTGCTTTTGGTGTTTTAGTCATGAAGTCTTTGCCCATGCCTATGTCCTGAATGGTATTGCCTAGGTTTTCTTCTAGGGTTTTTATGGTTTTAGGTCTTACGTTTAGGTTTTTAATCCATCTTAGTTAAGTTTTGTATAAGGTGTAAGGAAGGAGTCCAGATTCCGTTTTCTGCATATGGCTAGCCACTTTTCCCACCACCATTTATTAAATAGGGAATCTTTCCCCATTTCTTGTTTTTGTCAGGTTTGTCAAAGGTCAGATGGTTGTAGATGTGTGGTGTTATATCTGAGGCCTCTGTTCTGTTCCATTGGTCTATATATGTGTTTTGGTACCAGTACCATGCTGCTTTGGTTACTGTAGCCTTGTAGTATAGTTTGAAGTCAGGTAGCGTGATGTCTCCAGCTTGGGTTTTTTGTTTGTTTGTTTTTGTTTTTGCTTCAGATTGTCTTGGCTATACAAGCTCTTTATTGGTTCCATATGAAATTTAAAGTAGATTTTTTCGAATTCTGTGAAGAAAGGCAATGGTAGCTTGATGGGAATAGCATTGAATCTATAAATTACTTTGGGCAGTATGGCCATTTTCACGATATTGATTCTTCCTATCCATGAGCATGGAATGTTTTTCCATTTGTTGTGTCCTCTCTTATTTCCTTGAGCAGTAGTTTGTAGTTCTCCTCGAAGAAGTCCTTCATGTCCCTTGTAAGTTGTATTCCTAGGTATTTTATTCTCTTTGTAGCAATTGTGAACAGGGGTTCACTCATGATTTGACTGTCTATTATTGGTGTATAGAAATGCTTTTTGCACATTGATTTTGTGTCCTGAGACTTTGCTGAAGTTGCTTATCAGCTTAAGGAGTTTTTGGGAAAGAATGGTAGATCTCATGTAAATTTAAATTTTATATAATCCATGTTTTTAAAATTACATGTAACATGTATCACAAAGAGTTAATGTCTTTAATATACAAATAGTTTTTCCAAACAATAAGAAAAAGTCATTACCTTCATAAAAAAATTAAAAACTGTCATGAACAAACAATTAGCAAAATAAGGAAACGGTCAATGGCCATATGGAAAGATACTTTTCAGAGAGGAAATTTGGTAAGAGCTATCAAAATGGGAAATGTGCATACATTTTACTCACCATTTTCATTTTAAAGATTAACCTTAAAGATATAATCTCAGAAGTGGAAGAAGTTATATGCCCAAAAATGTTTGTTTCTGAAGTACTTAGATTAGTAAAAATTTTGGAATATCTTAAATGTCTATCAATAGGAAAATTATATAAATTCTGATAATATATAAAATTTATTATTATTATGTACCCATCGCAGTTGTAACTTTGCATATAATGAAATTATTTGCTTCCGTATATCTCTCTGTCCATAGATGATGGAGTTCTTGAGATTGAGAATGTCCATATTTGTCTCTAGCAATGAGCTCATTTCCTAGTAGGCACTCAATACATACTTATTGAACAAACAAATAAACTGTGGTCTCTCTTTATCTTAATAGGCTGGAAGTGATGGAGAGAGTATTGGAAACTGTCCCTTTTGCCAACGCCTTTTCATGATCCTCTGGCTTAAAGGAGTTAAATTTAATGTGACAACGGTTGACATGACCAGGTAAGAGAAATCAGGACACGTTAAATTCTAGGAATTGAGATTGGTACATACCAATAAAATATTGGTGTTTATTTAATGTGTACTTTATCTAGAGACCTAACTCTGCTTATTTTTAATAATCATAGAAAACCTGAAGAACTGAAGGACTTAGCCCCAGGTACCAATCCTCCATTCCTGGTGTATAACAAGGAGTTGAAAACAGACTTCATTAAAATTGAGGAGTTTCTAGAACAGACCCTGGCTCCTCCAAGGTACAGCATTTACAGGATACTATTTTGCTGAAGATAATCTATTTTACTGACTTGTTTATTGCAGATTGAGTATTCTTACCAATTTAAGTACTTTTGGATTTCTGGGCCTACATGTCAAATGGCACACATGCATAAACATCCCCCTCCAACTTCAAATACAAAAGGATGATACGTATAATGTTTCAAATAATGTTTAAAAGCTGCATAACATACATAACACAAGAAGGTAAGCTCTCGGTGGTCTAGAAATAGAGTAGGAACATATAGTGAGATAGGAGTGAGGGAGTGGGGTACTAACACTATGTTATGCATAAGGATTGGTCATGACTGGTCCTTAACACCACTGATGAAATGAAAGAACATACCCAACACAAGGGTTAGTGGCCAGGAAATAGACTTCAAGCAGTTAACCAGAGGCCAGAACTGTACTGCCTATACTTGAATGACAACCGCACATCTCTGTCTACCCAGGATAGGTCTAGAAACAAGAAGCATGCTATATTAATTTTCTATTGCTGTGTAACAAATTACCACAAACTTAGTATCTTAAAATAACACGTATTTATTATCTCACAGCTTCCATTGGTCAGTTGTCTGGGTATGACCTGCTGAGGTCCTCTGCTCAGGATATCAAAAAGCTGCATTCAAAGTGTTGGTCAGGAACACAGTTATCATTTGGGGCCCAGGTGACTCTTCCATCTTCATTCAAGTTTTTGGCTGAATTCAGTTCCTTGAAGCTATATGACTGAAGTCTTAGGTTATTGGGTAGCTGTTTGTTGGGGTTGGCATTCAGTTACTAGAGGCTACCCCTCTGTATAGGCATTTCACAACATAGCTGATTGTTCTCTTCCTCTAAAACCCATGGGAGAATGTCTCTCTGATGGTTCACCTTCTTTTAAAATGTTTTTATCAGCACAAATTATGGGATACATATGAAATTCTATTATGTGTATGTAATGCATAGTGATAAAGTCAGGGTATCCATGGTGTCCATGACGCAAGTACAATACATTTTTGTAACTATAGTCACCCTGCTCTTCTATCAAACATTGAATTTATTCCTTCTATCTTATTTATGTGTGTACTTTTTAACACACTTCTCTTCATCTTCCCTTCTCCTCCCAATCACCTTCCCCAGTCTCTGTTATCTATCTCTCCATTCTCTATCTTCATGTGATCAACTTTTTTAACTCCGACATATAGGTGAGAACATGCTATTTTTGTCTTTTTGTACCTGGCTTATTTCAGTTGACATAACAATTCCAGTTCCATCCATGTTGTTCCAAATGACAAGATTTCATTCTCTTTTATGGCTGAATGCTATTTCATTGTGTATGTGTACCACACTTTCTTTATCCATTTATCTGTTGATGGACACTTAGGTTGATTCCATACCTTGTCTATTGTGAATAATGCAACAATAAACATGAGAGTGCAGGTATCCCTTTGACATACTGATTTCTCATGCTTTGGGTAAATGCTAATTAGTGAGATTTTTGGATCTTAGGGTAGTGCTACTTTTGGTTTTTTCAGAAATCTCCATGCTGTTTTCCATAGTGGCTATATTTATATTCCTAAAAACAGTGTATAAGAGTTCCTTTTTCTCCACATCCTTGCCAATGTCTGTTAATTTTTTCATCTTTTTAATAATAGCGATTCTGACTGAGGTGAGATGATATCTCATTTTGGTTTTGGTTTGCATTTCTCTGTTGATTAGTAAAGTTGAGCATTTCTTTGTGTACATTTTGGCCATGCCCTTTGCCCATATTTTATGAGATTTGTTTTATTGTTGAGTTGTTTGATTTCCTTGTATATTCTGGATATTAGTTCCCTGTTGAATAGTTTGCAAACATTTCCTCTCATTCAAAAGGTTGTCTCTTCACTCATTTCTTTTGCTGTGCAGAAGCTTTTTAGTTTAATTGAGTCCTATTTGTCTATTTTTGTTTCTATTGCGTGTGCTTTTGACATCTCAATCATAAATTATTTGTCTAGACCAATGTCCAGAAGAGTTTTCCCTAGGTTTTCTCTTTTTATTTTTATAGTTTTGAGTATTATGTTTAAGTCTTCAGTCCATTTTGAGTTGATTTTTGTATATAGTGAGAGATAAGGATCAAATTTCATTCTTCTGCATATAGCTATCCAATTTTCCCAGTACCATTTATTGAAAAAGGTGTCCGTTCCCCAATGTTCTTGTGAAATTTGTCAAAGATAAGCTGGCATTAAATATGTTAATTTATTGCTAGGTTCTCTATTCTGACCATTGGTCTATGTGTCTGTTTTTATACCAATAACATGCTATTTTGGTTACTATAGCCTTGTATATATTTCAAAGTCAGGTACTGTGATGCCTCCAGCTTTGTTCTTTTGGCTTAGAATTGCTTTGGCTATATGGAATCTTTTTTGGTTACATGTGAATTTTAGTATTCTTTTTTTCTAATTCTGTGAAAAATGACATTGGTATTTTGACAGGGATTGCATTGAATCTGCAGTTTACTTTGGGAAAATTACAATGTTAACAATATTAATTTTTCTGAACCATGAGCATGAGATGTTTTTCCATATATTTTTTCATTTTCAATTTCTTTCATTAGCATTTTGTAGTTTTCATTGTAAAGATCTTCTACCTCCTTGATTAAAATTATTCCCAGATATTTTAATTTTTAGCTATTGTAAATGGAATTGCCGTCTTCATTTCTTTTGTGGGTAGATCATTATTGGTGTATAGATGCTACATATTTTTTAGTGTTGATGTTTTTAACCTGGAACTTTACTGAATTTACTTATCAAATGTAAGAATTTTTTGATGGAGTTTTTAGGTTTTACCAGATACAAGATAATGGCACCAGTAAAAAGAAACAGTTTTACTTCCTTTTTTCCAATTTGGATGCCTTTTATTTCTTTCTCTTGGCTGATTGCAATACTTAGGACTTCCAATACTATGTTGAATAGGAGTTGTGAAAGTGGGCATCCTTGTTTTTTTCCATTTCTTGGAGGAAAGGCTTTCAACTTTTCCCTATTCAGCATGATATCAGCTGTGGGTTTATCATATATAGCCTTTATTATTTTGACATATTTTCCTTCTACGCCCCATTTGTTGAGAGGTTTTATTATGAAGGGGTGTTGAATTTGATCAAATGCTTTTTCTGTATCTATTGAGACGATGATATGTTTTTTGTTCTTTAGTCTATTGATGTCATATATTGAGGTTATTGATTTGCACTTGTTGAACCATTCTTGTATCACTGGTATAAATCCCACTTGATCATGGTGTATTATCTTTCTGATATGCTATTGGATTCAGTTTGCTAGTATTTTGTCGAGAGTTTTTGTATCTATGTTCATCAGAAATATTGGCCTGTAGTTTTCTTCTATGTGTGTGTTCTTGTCTGGTTTTTGTATCAGGATGGTGCTGGCTTCATAGAATGAGTTAAGGAGAGTTCTCTCCTCTTCCATTTTTTAGAATAGTTTCAGGAGAATTGGTATTAGTTCTTCTAGTAGAATTTGTCAGTGAATTCATCCAGTCCTGTGCTTTTCTTCATTTGAGAGACTTTATTACTGACTCAATCTTGCTACTCATTATTGGTCTGTTCATGTTTTCCATTTCTTCCCAATTCAGTCTCAATACATTGTACATTTCCTGGAATTTATCCATTTCCTCTAGGTTTATCAGTTTGTCAGCATACAGTTGTTCATAATGGTCTCTGGTGATCTTTTGTGTTTCTTACATGTATGACTTAATGTGTCATTTTTCATTTCTAATTTGTTTGTTTGGGTCTTCTACTTTTTTGGTTAGTCTAAGTGGCAGTTTATCAATTTAACAAAAACCAACTTTTTGATTCATGATGCTTTGTAGTTTTTAGTCCATATTTCATTTAGTTCTGTTCTTTATTACTTCTTTTTTCTGCTAATTTGGTGTTTGGTTTGTTCTTGCTTTTCTAGCAGCTTCACATATATTATTAGATTAATTTGTCATTTCCTACTTTTTTGATGTAGGCATTTATTGCTATAAACTTCCCTCTTAGTGCTGCTTTTGCTGTATCCCACAGGTTTACGTATGCTGTGTTTCAATTTTTGTTTGTTTCAAGAATTTTTTTTTCTTCTTAAATTCTTTATTGGTCACTGGTTGTTCAGGAGCATGTTGGTTAATTTTTATGTATTTATGCAGTTTCTAAAGTTCCTCTTGGTGTTTATTTATAGTTGATTTCATTGTGGCCCTAGAATATCCTTGCTATGATTTTGATTTTGTTAAATTTATTGAGACATTTTGTGGACTAGCATGTGGTCCATCCTGGAGAATATTCCATGTGCTGATGAATGTATATTCTTTAGTTGTTGGATAGAGTGTTCTGTAAATGTCTGTTTCATTCATTTGGTCTAAAGTCCAGTTTAAGTCTAATGTTTATTAGCTGATTTTCTGTCTAGATTATCTATCTAATGGTGACAGTGGGATGTTAAAGTTTCTGCCTATTATTGCAGTGCAGTCTGTCTCTACCTTTAGATCTAGTAATGCTTGCTTTATGAATCTGGATGCTCCAGTATTGGGTGCATATATATTTAGGATTGTTATATCTTTTTTGCTGGGTTGATCTCTTTGTCATTATATAATGATAGTCTTAGTCCTTGTTTCCACTTTTTTTGATTTAATGTCTGTTTTACCTTATATGATTATAGCTAATCCTGCTCACTTTTGGTTTCCATTTGTGTGAAATATCTTTATCAACCCCTTTCAGTCTGTATGTGTCTTTACTAGTGAGGTGAGTCTCTTGTAAGTAATATGCAGTTGGATTATGTTTTTTAAGTTTAGTCATCCAGTGTATGTCTTTTAAGTGGAATATTTAATCTGTTTATGTTTATATGTGAAGACTTATTTCTGTCATTTTGTCATTTTTTTCTGATTGCTTTGTATATTCTTTGTTTTTTTCTTTCTCTCTTGTCATTTATCATTACAGTTTGGTGGTTTTGTGTACTGGTAACATTTGAGTCCTTTATTTTCTTTATAT